TAATCGTGTGATCTTTAACTTCTTTTGAGTAACATATACAGATACAAAATGTGATTTCATTCGCATATGAAAGCATAAACTATTATCCCTACAGTCTTTCAAGGTACATATGTACGTATATTCTATCTTAATCACCGTAGTAACAAACGCAATCCTATTTGTGACATTTCCAGCCGCGCGTTCTTGTAAATCAAAGAGAGGCCTGATGTGATTTGTTCTGATATCTTGTCACTCTCGGTGGGTCTCGAATCTAGGGAACAAGATTCAAAGTGACAAAATAAAACACCTCAAAATCAAAATATCCAGAAAATATTAAATCAATTACGGAGCTATGGTGACACACACATGACGACTGCCTTTGATTCAGGCGTGGTATGGTATAATTTTTAATGAAATAGCTGAGATCAAAGATGGACGAGCGTTTGTTCAGGCATTCCTCAGCGAATACTACCGACCGCGACCGACTGGGACCGACAACACCCGAGATCTGACGGCGTCAGACATCGCCTTTAATTAGTCGTCGCTCGTTCGTGGATCACAGGTGAAGGTGACACGAGGGAGAGATTTGTCTGGACGAGAGAGAGGGAGAGATACCACCACTGATACGAAAGAGAGAGAGAGAGAGAGTAAGAGAGAGAGAGAGAGAGAATGCGTGTGTTACATCTGTTTCAAGACTTTATTTAATCAACCGAAAAGAATACTAGTCATTTAAGTCACGTTTTTCGAAGAGTTTCCACAAGTTTAACTTAAACATATTTTGGGTGCGCTTACGAACCTCTACATTTCCCAATTTAATTTTGGATCGTTTTCACAACAATGTCATGTAGATAAAAGACAATAAAACAAGTAAAATTGATTCAATTAGTTTAAAGTTGCCGGCCTTCACCTTCCCCTCACAAGGGGACTTAACTCTTGAACGATTTAAACGTCTCCACCAAAACGCTCATCTGTGTAGACTGATGGCGAAATTATCTAAATAAGCTAGGGGTGCAGGAAAAACTACCTGTGTTGATTGACAAGTGAGAGAGAGTTATTGAAAAGAAGGCGGAGACAGTGTCTGGAATAGCCAGAGGCGGACAAAATAACAACCTAATATCGCGCAAATATTGCTCAAACCAAACTTATCACGCTGTGGCCGGCAACCACGACGTCCCTGCCACGGCAAGGATCTAATTAAAGCAGTCAACGAGCTGCAGGCATATTCGACGGTCATAATTACAACTTTCATCCCCGATGTAAAAAAATGTACCAAACAAGCATTATTTTTTCCTAAAGAAGCACGGAGAAACCTTTCCAATGGCAACTTTTCTGTCTCATGACTTCCCCACCGTCTCCGATCGAGCTTCAAGCACCCTAGAGGCAGGAGCCCGCCTGAGGGTAGGGGGAATGGTGGAGGGGAGAGGGGTGAGGGGGAACACAATGGAAACCATCCAACTTACTTCCAATCCTGTCTATCCAATCTCGTCTGCTTTGCCCTAATGGCGGGAAATGTAAGCTATTCACGTGGAGTGCGGACCTAACGAGATGCCAGCTGAATTAGAATGTATACACATCTCGAATTCTCCAAAGCCTATTTAATGGGCGGATACAAGATTTTAGTCGCTTTGAAAACTTTGAAAACTTTTTATCACCAGACATCTTCGGAGTACTAAGTATTTCTCCTTTTACCAAGTAGCGCGTGGCCGGTCGTCTGCCGGTGTGTATGCGCGCGCATGAAAGAGCCGCGTGCTTACCTGGACGACTGTGTGACACGTGAGTTCTCTTAATAACTTCCGTAAATCACTTTAATGCAGTGTTCTGTCTATTGGCAACGTGTACATTCGTCCGTATTAAGAGCCACTGAATGCAGACAACATGCAATCTTTCAACCGGATTACTTCACATCACCATTTATGCTCCAATATGCAGGTGGGTTATACAAAATTTACCCCTGAGACTAATTGAAAAAGTGTCAGCGTGTTTTTAAGTGTCACTGCGGGTATCCCACCGAATGTTCTGTTAAGAACAATTAGGCCGTTTACAACCGACAAAACAAGCACTTTAATTTCAAAGTGTAGAGAATGATCACAAAGACAAGGAGCTTTGTATTCAAGGAGACGTTTTATACAATAGTGAATGACTTGAGGTTGTCATCAAAAATCAGTAATACAACGCAAGAATAACTTATTCACCCGAATGCATAGTTATTCATTGTCATTATTGAATATGTTTTGAAGTTTTAACGAGTGGCAATAATTTCATCAATACGGCAGACACGTGTTATACTTGCGGTCGGCAGACTGTTTCATTTATGTAAGATGTTTTCATGGCAAACGTATCTTAAAAGAAAAATCATAGTTTCTTTCGAATTCTACGATATAACATTTTTTTTCAAATTGCCATCTTAAGTAATAAACGTAATAAATAAAAGTAATTTGTTCTCAAAACACGCATGGATACGCCCTTTTAATCGTCCCTGCCACTTCACACAGCAGTCAGTATCCTTTTAATCCCGAGCTTTGAATCTCGAAGTACAAAGAGCCCAAACAGCAAAATATCAAACCTAAAGACTATTTGAACATTTCATTAGCTCCAGAAAACATACCCCGGTCAACCCAGGCGTATAATTCCCATAACGCGAGCCCCAAATTTATTAATTTCACCAATTAGTCACAAGTTCAATAGAATCGAGGACCCGAATAAGAAAAAATAACTTACAAATTGCTTTATTTTATATTTCCAGATGAAGTCATGAAAAATCGATCACAACAAAAATCTTGATAGTTTTTCGAAACCTTTCGCATCAAAAGAAAGTCTCTTTCATTTGGAACTTCCTTCACGATGACGTCATGATTCACGCACAGGTTACTTAGCAACTAGCAATAATAGTCCGCTTATATCAAACGGGGTGTAGTGTTTCCAAAACTACTTCCCATTTCAATCATACTCTAAAATTTGCAAGATGTCCGACTAAAATACATGTTTTTTTATCAGCTTTATAACTACTAAATTACCTATTTATAGCACCATATCCTTTAGGTGTGAGTGACAGCGCAGACAACTGTGGGAGGGGCATATTATGTACGTTACATATTTGACTGACAGTTCAGTTTGACACGACAGTGTCATGATCATCTAACAGACTAACCATGGTAAATGTTCCTTATGGAAAAATATAAAAAGTTCATATTTACGTACTGCCAGGGCGATGCCATATGAACATGGTCAACATTTAAAAATTCTTTTAATAAGTATCAATAGCTCATATTCGGTTCGGTTAGCGATAAGTCTCTTAATCTGACACACCTCGTCATTCATGCATTACACTCACAAAGTCGACTAACTTGCTTCCAGAAACATGGAAAGATGTTTTAACAAATGTAAAGTAAAATATTAAAACTTCTTAATTAAACAAATAACCAATCTGAATAGGTGATTTCCCAATAGCTGAAAAGATATACATTGCTCCAACAGACAATGATTATGGTGAATAATCATATTGAATATATGATTCATAACGATTCGTTTTACAAGCCATGGGCACTGCGAACATTTGTGGACCGTATTGTATATAGGATCTCTGCTGACATTCCCTCTCCCACGATAGCTTTATTCAAGGCATTATCAACCTCACCATCATCATCACCATCGTCGTCGTCGTCGTCATCGTCATCGTCAACATTATCATCACTATCAACGTTATCATCATTAACATTATGCCAAATACAACTATTTCATCACAATCATCATCAGTGCTATTGTACGAGAAAAGGATGACATATTACATCATGTTTATCAATATTTATCATCATTATTACCATAATGAGATACAAAGATGAAACTAAAACTGTACCATCATCATCGTCGTCATTTCATACAAAGCACAGGCCATATTCTAAATTCCTATATTATTTGTGTTTAAACACATTTCATTATTAAAATGGATTTTGAACAAGTTATCACAACTTTTTTTGCAAACTTCTCTAAAAATAGGTTATCTCGTCTCTACATCATCTACACCACCATACAAAAACCCTCTCCCAAAATAGGTTATTTCATCTCTACATCATTCAGCCTCCATACATCATTAATATACCCGTGAGGATCCGGGTAGAGAATAGGTCTTCAGCAACCAAAGCTTGCCGTAAACACATTTTCAATATTCTATAACTCATAACTATAAAGAGTGTGAATGAATATTGTTTTGTGCCACTTTTAGCAACATTCCAGCAATATCACAGTGGAGGACATCACACATTTTACACATTTTACCCATGTAGGGAATCAGAGCCGGGCCTTCGGAGTGACGAACAAATGTTTTAATGTAAGAGGAAACTAACGGGATCGGGTGGTCAGGCTCGCTGACTTGGTTGCTGCATGTCATCGTATCCCAATTGCGTGGATCGATGATATCAGTCACTGGATTGTCTGGTCCAGACTCGACTATTTACAGACCGCCGTCATAAGCTGGAATATTGCTGAGTGCGGCGTTAAACAACAAACAAACAAACAAAAACACCATCTTTAGCACAACAGCACTTATCAACACACTGACCTCCCTTTCTGACCTCATGGCTAAGCCGAACTTGCTCCAATCCAGGTAAGTTGATTACATCATTCAAACAAACGACAAGAATTCTAAATGGGAAGATATCCAGTGGCCTCAACAATCTAATCAATATCAAGTGACATAGTTCCATTTGATGGGACGGCGAGTGGAAGATGCTTTCAATCACCGTTCTTCAAATCTGCTTTTTCTACAGGTGCATTAGCTTGTGTGGAGTCGCTTAGTATATAGACATACCTTAGAATGTATATACTTATCAATCGGAGACGAAATTGTGTCGTTCACAGAATTGAATTTTCTTTAATGGATCCCAAAAACCATACGTATGGGGAGAACCAATTGGAAAAGTCCTGCTGCCAGGTTTGGGGACACACCATCACAAAGTTCAAATTTAAACAATTATTCATTTGTTACAAAGATATATAAACATGAAATAACGCAAATAGATACTCACCGATTTAATTCTACACTGTAAGTCTATCGTTGATCACCTTTTGCCAGACATCTAGTCATCTACCTCCACGTCTATTTCTCCAAACAATCTGAAATGAAAGACTCGTGTGTTCAGTATGTTGTCTATCGGTGATTGTCAAAGGGAGGTAACCGTTATTCCTACTCCATCGGCCGAAGAGGCATGTCAATATCGGTTTAGCGGTAGCGTGCGTGTCCAAGTGGACATGCTTGAACCAGCGGTCGACAACATACCTAACGTCCACTCGGAGTGATTTTACCGAATCGACGGATTTTCAGAGAGAATGATATTAGGATTTCGTGAATAGGTGAATTTTCTGTATGTAGATGCACTGCTGAGACAAACGACACCGTTCGTGATAGATGCTCGTTAGACTTATTTCATAGGTCACGGGGTACATAAAATCAGCTCTATCCTCTCTAACAAACTAGATAGGACACATTGTGTGCTAATACTCTCTCTATAACGCTGTGGCAGCCAATCGGGGGTACAAACTGGTGGCGACTGGGCGATAATATCACGTTGTGGCAGTGATGGGAGTCTAGCATCACGGGATATCTCGCAACGTGCACGCGATGACAAAAACTGCCGCAGGAATTAAATAGATCCCCACAATGGACAGTTAAACAAATATTGAACATCCATGAAAAACATAAACAGGTAATAACTGTAATGCATTTTTTAATCTAAACCGCGGTAACAATTCGTTGTTTCTTATTTAAATCCTAGGTCATGTAGTTGTTCCTTAAATAAATAGCGACAAAAATAAGAAATCTCTTCCATTGTACGATTCCGACTAGATCTTGAGCATGCGTTTGTGAATCACAAAATCACAAGCATGAATCACTATCAAATAGTGATCATACGAGGTATCCGCGAAAAGGTGAGCATATCCTGTCATCCGTCACAAATACATGCAAAGGCAAGTCAATTGTTCATCTGAAAACAGATTATATTTGGTTGTCCGACACCTAACCCATGATTCTGGTTTTATTGTTTTATCTATCATCGGTTCCGGCTTAGATTTAAAATAATTGATTCGATGAATAAAACTTTCAATCCATGCATCATGTGATTGTACGATGTTCTTGAAAAAAGTAGTTTAAGGTTTAAATATTCTCTTACTTGAATATTATTATTAAGCTGGTACATGTCACTGAGATTCCAACCTTGACCTTGAATTACACCTTGCTCCTTATATATCCTTAAACTTCGAGACAACCGGTAATACGAGGAAGGAGTGGCATGAACGTTCCTCGGGATAACCAAATGTGCTTCACTGTGAGTGACCGACGATTTACGCATGGGGGCCTATCAGCAATTTCTGCACTCATACGGGCCCAGATATATGCCTACAGTACTCATATAGACCCTGAAACAAATATCCAATACAGTAAACTACGGTTATAACGAATACGCTTATAACGAACTGACGGATATAACGAACTTACTTTTTTGGTCCCGACTATTCGCTGTAGTTATGCTGTATATATGCTTATAACGAACTACGGTTATAACGAACTAAAATTAGTAGTCCCTTTGAGTTTGTTATAACCGTACTTTACTGTACATCCAATGTAAGTCTATTAACGTTGGCAAGTCTAGATTACGGCAGTTTCTGAAAATAAAGAAAGTATGGGGGGGGCCTTATTTTTTTTATATTTCATTAAATAATTTAACAATTTTTTTTTCTGTAAAATGATTCATTTCAAAGACTAGATGCTAGTCTAATGTATACTCAATATTGTCGAGTATCTGGGACGGCTCTCACCCCAATCCCACCTCATTAAAATAGGGTGACCAAGCAGTTTTTCCGAAGACCTAGGTTTAACCCTTGTTGATCTGCATTAACCCCGCTGGCTATATGGGCCAGGGGTAACACGAGAAGGGAGGAGCACTAATTGAGATTTAGATGGTTAACAAGATACGTTCTGAGAAATTTACTGAATAGCTACAAAATGCCCTGGTGGGTAAGTTCTAATCCTAAACGATTTCAGAAGGTTCGCCCAGTGCCCCTGCACCCGTGACCACTCCCTGTCCGCTCAATACGGGATTGCAGCCGTGGCCAGAGTGACACCTCTAATATTCAAACGCTTTTAAACCCGATATATCTTTTCAGACGTTTTGGGGGGCACGGGTGGCCTAGTCGTCTAAGGCGCCGCGATTCGCTGTGCAGAGATGCGTCCCTTGGGCACGCTAGAAACCTATGATTGTGGGTTCGAATCCCGGTTCGCCACGATTATGTTTCTAGGTTTGTCAGCACCATACCCGTGCTCGTGGGTTTCACCGAAGTGGTAAACATCTAAGACTTGAATCACCTGGGGCTTTCCTCCCACATTAAGCTGACACGCCGCGATATAACTGGAATACTGTTAAAAGCGACTCACTCAATTTTAGACGTTTTGCACACTTACGCACTACTACGGAGGACTTCGAGAGAACGAAATATCAGTATGGAGCTATAAGGCATGTACTTCTGTCACATCGAGTTTCTCTTGTAATTCTGTTCGTATTTGGTGTGTGAGATGGTGGTATTTTGGTTGAATCGTTGGATTGTGACGCCGAAGGCCCGAGTACAGTTCCTCACATAGGTACAATGTGCAATGTGTGAAGCCCATTTCCTGGATATTGCTGGAATATTGCTAAATGCGGCGTAAATTCATACTCACTCACTCATTCACTCACATACTATGTGAAACCCAATGTTCCCCGCAATGTTATGTCCTAAATAATAACAAAGAAAACATTCTCTCTCTCTCTCTCTCTCTCTCTCTCTCTCTCTCTCTCTCTCTCTCTCTCTCTCTTTCTCTCTCAGCGTGATGAATGCTGAAGACAATGACTAACCCATGCAGTTAACATAGACCGCGCTCCACGGGGAATACCACGAGATTCTACAAAAACAGTTCCAACAACTCCTGGTTACAAAACAAACGACGTCTCCAGTTCCATTCACGTACTTCATCACACGGACAACTGAACATGGCGACAGCCTCTGACAATCTCTGAATCGTAATATCTAGAATCAACTGTATGTACAACGTCTAATAGAAATAACATGCAACACCAAGCAGTCGAGCCCTCCATTTCGTGTCCTGGCATTTCTAAATGTATTTTAAAATAGTCCTAAATACAACCATCCTTCGTGCTCCATGCTGTTTAATACTATTAATGACCAGCAAGCAAACGCCATTATGCCTGTACTTAAGGCCCATGGGAATATAAGGTCGGGATATTTGTACTAATTTACTCGATGAAGCTACTATTCCTGACTTATCGATTACCATAGAAATGACATAATCATACTCCGAAAGAAATAATAACAGCGACCGGATAGTACTTCAGTGACCGTCAGGATTAACCATTCCTAAAGTGCTTCTTAGTCGGCAAGAATTCAACCGACATGGCATCTCAATACAACACTATTCCCCACCATCGCGGCTGAATAGATGGACGATTGAATCTCAATCCTCTATGTAACCGAAAGAATGTAAATACAGCGTTGTATAGCTATCGGCTCTCAACCTTCACAAACATATCATGCCTAGGCAGTTTATTACTTGGCAAACTCTGGTACGATCTCCGCGTCCTCAAAACGCACACTGTCTATCGGTGATGTTTGCAGATTTTAGTGTCCGCCGTTCCATGGATTCAGTGTAAAAGTATTCTGTTGAATTTCAAGGCACTGGGTAAATATACCGTCAATTCGAAAAACTATTCTGCGAATATCGATGTGGGATTGCCTCGGTTGAGTGGCCCGAGAACTCGCCATCAGCTCATTGAAATACGGCCTTCCTCTTAGCCAACAATGCAGTTCCATTGATCAGACAAAACGGTTACATAAAGGAAAACACGGCCGCAAATGAAGGCAGCAGCTCCCAGAATGAGAAAACCAAAATCAATGACAACCATTTAGGCGAACATTACTTGTAAGTATAATCGAATGCTGCAGCATGGCATTAGCGGCAGTGCATGAATGCGAGATTGATTTGCTAGTGGTTTGCCAACCGCCGTAAGACGGACTGAGAAGCGAGGGGTCGACGTTAGCACAATAGGAATCGAAGTTTGACAGAAATTGTGAACATCATCTCTGAGAGACGGCAAGGTAGCTGTCATTAACTGACATATTCATGCTATCTGGGTGAACTTTTTGCCCACTCTGCATCCCCGTGTCACTCGACTAGGTGCATTCAAAGGTTGGGATCGCATGATGAAATAATCACTTAGTTATGTTGTCATTCAGGCAGAGCGCTACGTGCAAGAAATGACAGTCAATTAATTTGGTATCATCATCTAGGGATGGATATAGAACAGGTAGATGAAGACTTTACGGGAGGGGGTGAAAGGGGTCAGATAGGTGGTGTGGTTCGGAAGATGAGTCAATTAACTGTGACAGAAGTTCTTGATGGAAGGTAGGGGCTTGGGGAGGAGAAATGTTGATGGATCGTGTGGTAGGGGTGGGGCATTGGTGGATGGTGGCGTCTTTTGCTTGGTGATAACGGTAAAGCAGGTACTCAAAGAACATCTTGGAAGAGTGCGATTGTTGGAAGGAATGACAGGCAATGGGGGTGGATTCGAACAAGGTGGGGGTCGTTGAGAAAGACGGTGCAACGGGATGATAGTGTGCAAATGCGAGCAGCAGTTTGGTGCAATATAAGACTGACGTACATATTGAGAGAGGGTGCAATGAGTCGGTCGATTGGAATATGGGAATGACACTAAGTTTAAAGAGTAGGCTTCTGGGAGAAGATAGCAGAGGTAGGGGTGATAGTAGGTACACGGTTGTGGTAATTGGAGCTCAGATGAAATGAGGGGTGTTCCGCGGAAAAAACAATGAGCTGGGGGCTGAGAGTCTGGTTATGGGAAAAGAGGCAAGGATAGAGGGGAGTTAAAGTTATGGATTGACTTGGCAGGATATGACAGAGTGGAGTGCCTGGTGAGGTCGATTGGAGACGTTCACAAGCCTTTCCTCGACGAGGATGTTCGAAGTGCATCTATATAAAGGATTCCTCATTTATTTTTATCGTCCACGTGGGTGTGGGTGTCACCGAGGCGGTGGTGGGAGCCAGGGGT